CATAGACCCCAACAACGCCACAAGTAATCGCAATGAAGGTACTAGCTAAGAAGGCGTAGCGCATAAAATCATATTGAACATTATTCAAAAGTCTCCTTAAAATCCTTCATTTTTCCCTGAGTAATCTTACCGTCATTGAGGTAGAGATAATTATTCATAACTTTTTAGTTAAGGGAATATCATGTGATACGAATAAAACTGTCATTTGATATTTTTCATTTAAGTGCTTAATTAAGTCCATTAGTTCATTTTTGGCGACCGGATCTAGGCTGGCTGTAGCTTCATCTAAAATAATCATATTTGGTTGGTCTAGTAATGTTTGTGCCAGATATGCTCGTTGTTTCTGACCGCCTGAAGCTTCCCCCATTCGAACTGACTGAATATCCTGTAAATGCATTTGCTCTATTTGCCAGTTAAGCGCATTTTTAACCCTGGCTGTTTTAAAAAAGGGGTATTTAACGCAATAAAAGAGCGAATTGAAAGTGGGTATTCCTTGTCAATGTTTCTAAACTGTGGCGTATAGCCTAGTTTGACATTCGACGAAAACTGAAATTTACCACTTGTCGGGGGAAGCATTCCCATTAAGATTTTGATTAGTGTCGTTTTCCCTGTCCCATTTGGTCCAATTAAAGCAGTAGTTGAACCATCTTTAAGAGAGAAACTGATATTTTTAAAAATAGTTTTGTGGTTGAACTTTAATGTTAGGTTACTTACTTTAAGCGCCATTTGAATGAGCCTCCATTTCTAATAAAAATAGGACTAAGCAAACTGTCTGCCTAGTCCTATCTCTGAGTTTTTAGATGTAACCTTTACCTAGTTTGACTTTTTAACAATTTTTTTGCGATTTAGTATTTATAAAATTATTCGTTGAATTGTTAACTAGCAAGATCAAGTTTATAAAAAGCTAATCAGTGAGATTCTCCATGCTTAATTCTTATTTGATTGATTAGCTTAGGAAATTTTTCTTATCTTTCGTCACTACCGTAGCGTTCTTTCGTAATTTCATCCAAAGATTTTCCACGAGTAGCAGGTGTCCAAATAGTTCCAATCGCTAAAGAAATGATTAGGAATACAATCATTAAGCTACCCGCTGCTTTAAATCCCATCCCGGTAAGAATAGCCGGAAAAATGATTGACC